TCTATGTATCTAAGTATATTTTTGAGGTATAAGAAATCAAAAACAAATTCGATCTTTCAAATTATCAAAATAATTTTATTTGACTACGATTCCCGGTTCCCGCAGCCAACCGTGCGTACACTTGTGTGCGTGACCCGTGTCAATGTACTTAATAGTTCGATTCTATACCTGTATCAATTTTGTAAACGCGTCCTTAAAAAATCTTATCGACTGCGGCAAAAAGAGCGACACGTCTCTACAGCGCCAGGCCTCGGCCGGCAGTGACTCTGCACAGGCGTTTACGCAAACATCCGTATGTATTATTTCAGAAATATTAAAATGCTATTTAAAAAAAAACTATTAGTTGGACTAAAAAATTAAAACACTATAATATTAGTATGTTGAATGTATAAAAATCTGACAAAAAATCAGAATGATTGCATGTATACTAGTATGGTTTTTACTCGTTAAAAAAAATTTTTAGAGGTATGTTTGTGATTTTTTCTGTCATATTAAATTTGTGGTATCATGTTTTCAACACACTATCTAACTAGCATATATCCTGGACAATATCATATATTTTTCTGGGTTTGTATACTGCAGTGGATCATAGACCTTGAGGCATTATAAAACTTGCATTTAGCGTCATGCCTCGTCTTAAGGGCTTGTCGTGTAAGCTTTGTATAGATACGACTAATTTTAAATTCTTCCTTGCTATAATTTTCAGGCAGTAGTTGGTATTTCACTTTGTCGTGTACGATAGTGCATTGCAATGATGAAAAAGACCATAAGGATTTTGAGAGGGGTGATACATTTAAGAATGCGCAATTGTAGCTCGTATATTTTTTCAAGGTGCTTTTTATACGTGCGTCCATAACTGCTTAGCCCATATGAAAAATGAGTGATAAAAGATGATGCAAATCGCATCTGTTGTGCAGCGCTTCCCTCTGTGTATGTTCCGTGAAGAAAACCCAGTGTCGATTAGACAAACATCATCATAATTCATCATTCTTCTTCATTGTAATGATGTCAGCAGTAAGCTTGTGAAATGAAATGAAAATGAAAATGAAATGAAAAATCTTTATTCAGTATCTTTTACATAGTAACAATGTGAAGGTTGTAGCCCTTCACATGTCTACTGCTGAACATAGGCTAAAACCAAGGAATGCCACAAAGCACGGTCCCGAGCCACCAGCTTCCATTGACTTCCTGCGTTATTACCTGGGAGTCACTCCATCTAGTGGGAGGACGGCCGCCGGGACGAAGCTTCCACTCGAAAAGCTTCTTTCCCATCAGTTGTCAGTTCTTCGAGCTATATGACCAGCTCAATACCAATATGACTGAGGAGAAGACATATCCTGTAATTTTCCGAACGCTGCTCAGCCAAGTTGATTCCGTCGATTGACCTCTGGTTAAAGTTGGACTTAACTAGTCGGAGTCAAGTATGAGTCCCCAGGAAAACATACTCGTCAACAACTTTGAGCTTAATGGTCCCAACAACTATAAGCATAGGTGTGAAATGGGCGTTATACATGACGTTTGTTTTGTCAATGTTCATCTTAAGACCTATATGGTGGGAGACATTATTCTAAACTATTTTGGCCATTGAGCATAGTTATTCTCGTGGTCCTCAAACAATTTTGCCATAAGGACTATATCGTCGACAAATCGAAGGTGAGGAATGTACTCGCCATTGACGTTAATACCGTATCTTTTACAGTCCAGTAGCTTGAAAACGACCTATAATGCAAAGGTAAAGACTCTCGAGGACATTCCGTCACCCTGTCTTGCAAATCTCTGCAGTTAGGTAGGGTTCGTATTCTAGTTCTGTATAGGATAGCCATTGTAGTTGTACTGCTAAAACACCTCAGCATTTTTATATACCGACAGTCAACTTGGCTTCGCTGAAGGGAATGTAGTACTACTCGAATTCCGACGGAATCAAAGAATTTCTCATAGTACACAAACGTATGACAAAGTGGCATATTGTACTCTTCAGTGTTTTGTACAATTTGCCGAAGAATACGTATGTGTTTTATAGTACTAAATGCTTTTCAGAAACGGGCTTGTTCGGGAGGCTAAAAGTCGTCGAATCTGCATGCGAGACGATTTCTTATGACTTTCGAAAACAGTACGTAGACGCGGCTCAGAAGGGAAATCGAAAATCTGTGGTTTTTCAGGAGAGTCTCTCTTGTGAAACAAGACCACCGCACTTCTGTTGCATACTTCCTCAATAGTGCCAACATTCAGATCAATCATTCAACTTCGGAAGGCTTCAAGTTCTGCTGTAATTTCATCCTCACCTGGGGCTTTGCCGTTTTTAAGGTGATGGATAGCCATTTTAATCACGCTCAGATTGACGACGAGGGATATCATCGAAATATGATATGTCGGATATGACTTGCTCATGGATCGTTACACACACTTTCGTGTGGCTTCAACGATATTTTTACAGCTGCTCGTAGAACCTCTCAATCTCACTCAAAATCACAGGTGTCCCGGAAACGATATTACCACACTCAGTCTCCAGACAGTTGACAGTTGGCTTTTTCTATCAGACAGATCTCTGGTAAAGACTTTTGAGCACAGGTCGCTCTATGTCTTCTTCAATACAGCTGCATTGAAATTGCGTAAATCTCACCGCATGCATATGATTATTAGAGATCTGTTGGTTCAGTTGCCAGTATGCTATCAAATCTGATGAATACTGCAGCTGAATTTCCTGTCGAACAGCCATGAGATTCGACTTTGATCGGATAGTTTTTTGTTTCTTTTGTAACGGGTCTTGCAGAATTTGGTTTGACCGCATGGACAGTTTCCATGAGCTTGTCATTTGTATAGTCCATTGTATTGTAGTCTTTTAAGTACTGAAAACTATTTTATTTTAACTCGAGCTGTAAGTTTTTGGCACAAGGGGGACGGAGCATTGACTTCATTACACGTGACCTCTTCAACTGAATGTGTAGGTTCAGTATGGCTTTCATAATTTTTTTAAACGTTACCTCCACACTAGAATTTTCTGTTATATCTTGGAGGCAGTTTACATACATAAATTGCACAAGGACAAAAATCCAGACCCAGAACAAACTTCAGTTCACCGTTCCCTTCTTTGCATAGTTTTGTGTTGAATTCTACCATTAACACCATATAGTAGGGTTTGAAAGAAGGCATGGCTCTAGAGATATTCTTACATATATTATTCACTTCCTCGTTGGAATGTACCAAGGTTGGGGCGTAAATCTGTATGATCTTCAGCGAATACCGTTTAGTGATTCTGATTATAAAGTACGCATCCCTCGTCTATAGAATTCCAATCTTTACAACATAGTTAAAGAGAGACTAGTAGACGATACAGAAACAGGAACATCGTTGTTTCTGTATCGTCTACTTTTTATTCAATATGGATTATAAGTAAAACTTATCATAAAGTTTCTTTTTTTTCATTGCCACTAGATCAAAAAAAACCTCCGTCCTGGGAAGAACCAGCATGAAACCCAGCGGGACTATTTATTTAAAAATAAGAGCCTACAATCATGTATGTTACAATTAACAACACAAAACAAATTAGAAATACCTTGTTAGCGATCACTCTTCCCAGGGGTTATTATCATCCATAAATTGCTTAATATTATAATAACCCTTTTTATTCAAACTTAGTTTAATAAAGTTTTTGAACCTTGTGTATGTCAAATTTTGTATATATTTTTTTATTTTTTCTAAAAGTGTACACATAGCTCCAAGTATGAATTACTGACTCAGTGGAGTTGAGTAACTGGTACTACTAGCTTGTGTTTGTTCCTAGTATTTACAGAATGAATATCCACTATTTTTGTTAAACTGATTTTATTTTTGTATACGTACATTATATTTTAATAAATTTTAGTCTAGGCGACTCCCTAGGTTTTAAATCATATATTGCTCTGGCCCTCTTCTATAAATCTGACACCACCTTGGGACGCATTGTCGTTCTCACGGTGATAGAGCAAGTTGTCGGTTTCTATAATTACCACGTTCTCCCGCTCTCTTCGGACCTCAGATAATCCTATAATAACTCAGTGCAACTTGTCTGTCTCTTTTTCGAGCTCCAGGATGTTCTCGCTGGTTTTAAGTGTGCATTCGTTATATGCTGCTTGGTAGAGTCGTCTAAGGTAGCATACCGAACCTTCACATTCCAGACCTTCTTAGCACCGCCAACGTAGCAACGTAGTCAGGAATAGCGGGGCCGCCGAGTGAAGGCCGTCTCTTTGTAACTTTCGCCATAGAAGTATATTGCCATACTTACCAGGTTTCACGAATGGGTTGGCAACCGCAGTAATTACCATCTCCTGCCTTAGTTTCTCTCTTTCGCCTTTTACGCACCTACGAAAAGATTTGGGGTGTACATGACAAAAATAAATGACTAAAATTTCAAAGGGGTATTTAGTTCTCAAGTCAGGAATACTCATAATTTGGCAGAAATATACCAGGTTGAATTTAATATGATTTTGTAGTAACCTTTTCAATTATATATTTTACTTACAACGATAGTGTGAAGTATAAGTATTATACGAATATAATTTATCAAGATCTTTAATTTTACTTAGTCATATATTAAACGCATTCATAGACAACTATTTTTGCTAATGGCACGTCAACTGGAATTTCTTTATACAATGAGAAAAAAAGGCAACAACCCAGTAAAAGAATGAAGGTGAGAATAGTATAGGTAGCTCGATATATACTTTAATTGTACCGTATCATACACTATTTCGTGCAAGTACAAAAAGTAATATATATATATATATATATAAACACACGAATTATAATTATATCACTTTATTCAAATATAAAGTAACATTATTTAGATGTATACACCAATATATAATATGTCTAGACAGTCTAGACCAAGTACAACACACTTTTACAACTGCATTAGATAACGTTCGTTTTAGGCATCTCCGTACTTGGGTAAAGTTGAATTAAATGTCCTATTACAAATATAAAAAATAAACCATAAAAATGACATACAAAACAATTTTTAACTACATAGGGATAAATTTATTTCTTGTTTCCAACTGTAACTGAAATCCGTCCGAATCCCGTAACATGATGTCACACTTGACAGTTAACGGTGTCTGCAAATCAGCTTCACAAGACATCGCCTTTGGAAGGAACTTATAGTTTCTCAGCAACGTAGCTAACACCGTCTTCATCGACATCATCGCGTACTGATAGCCTGAAGAGGTTGAGAAATACATATTATTGTATATTGTATGAAATTTTGTATGAATGTAAAATTAAACATATTGCGTGAATAAGTTAAATATGCCGTATTGGGATAACGTGGCAAACTTCACTTTTCTCTAAGCAACCTCTCCGAATACTCTCGACTTGCCATTCGAGAGAATGTTCAGATTGCAAGTAATTTTATCGGCGAAGCCGTTAACTGAAAACGTCTTTTATACTGAACTTGGCTTCTTTTTACTTTTATACTTTTGATAGAATTTTTAATTTGAAGTTTAGATATCAGCGGTCACTAAAAAAGATTTTAAAAAGAATTAAAAAAAATGGTTAACTTACCAACACAGTTTCGTGGACCATTGCTGAAAGGCATAAAAGCATGAGGGTGGTGCTTATGGCCATTCAGGAAACGGTTAGGGTCAAACTTTTCGGCATCGAGACCCCAGTACTTAGGGTTACGGTGTATCGACCATATACTTACGAAGACCCCAGTATTTGCAGGCAATGTGATGCCGGACGCTATACAAAATATACTAGTTAAATATCGTAAAAATTAGCCAATGTAATGATTTCTTATATTTACGCAACACTACGCATTGATTAAAACTACTTTTACGGATTTTATCGCATTTAATTTGAACGCAATCAATTAGGCAATTTCTTAATTGCTGTTAGCACTAGGGCTCTTACTTAAAAAAAGAAAATAACAATATATCAACACTATTTTTGCAAACACTTCTCCTTTTTTCATACATTTTCTTTTTCGTAGGTTTATTTGCTATAATTTACCATTATCCATATACAAGATGTGAGGCATACCGTTTTAGAGAAAATTGGTTGCAGATGTTTATGAGTTTGCCGCTCCCATTTTTATAGAAGTAAGAGTGACAAACGAGGTCCAACTGATAGTAATTAAATACTGCAACTCATAACTAACGAGTAATCAAATTGGTCGGCAGATTGGTGGTATACTTTAAATCTGGTATAATATACCAGATGATTACTCCATCATTAGGAGCTTTGAGATCATTTTGGTAGTCCTACGATACGAAATTATGATTGTAAATTAAAACTTTGTTTTAATTCATCACATTTTACAAAAAAAAAATGGTATTTCACTACAGCCCTTCATAAGGGCACAAGTACAAAAACATAGCTCTCCCCCAAGGAATACCACAAAACACGGCCCTGAGCCACCTGCATCCATCGACTTTCTGCATATCTTACCAACTCGTCATTCCATTCAATCACAGGATAATAAATCATCTAGTGGAGGGCCATCGGAGGCGTAGTGTAGCCTACTGGTACGAGGCTACCAGTTGAGAGAGACACATCTATTGGGACATTATTAAGGTGAGCATATTGCTAAGATCTTCCAATGATGTAGGTAAGGACTATAATGTGAGCAAATTGTAGGTGAGTGATGTACTCGCCACTGATGTTAATATCGTATCTTTTGCAAACTTGAAAACTGCGATGAAAAGTTTCGGAGGTATTACGTCACCCTGTCTTAAATAATTCTGCAATTGTGTGGTTTCGTATTTTCGTTCTCTAAAAATATTTCAGCAGTTTGATATACCGACATTCAACTTCAATTCAAATAAAAAAAATCAAATTCAATTCAAAAAAAAAACAGCTCATAGACGCGGCTCAAAAGGGAAATTGAAAATCTACAGTTCTTGAACAGAGTGTTTTTGCCTTTTTAGAATAACAAGACTATACCAATTATAATGCACGCCCCTAGAATAGTACCACGAAAAGCTTCTGAAGGATTTTTCATCCGCTTTCAGAAGCTACGCTGTTCCATCCTCGCCCAGGGCTTTGCTGTTTTTAAGATGCTGGAAAGCCATTCTAATCTCTCTCAGACTGACTTCCAGAATATCATCGGAGTAGTGTCGGATAATACTTACCCTGGATTGTTACTCTAACTTGCAAGTGGTTCCAACGATAACTTGTACAGCTACTTGTAGAATCTCTCAATCTCACTCAAAATCTCAGGCGTCCCGGAAACGATGCTGTCATATTAGGTCTTCAGTTTCGACAGTTAGTTCTTCCTACAAGACAGATCTCTGGCAAAGGCTTTGGTACCACTCGATCACTTTCTAATATGAGCTGTATAGAAGTTGCGTAATCTGTTGCGTGCATTTAAAGATACGTCTGTTTGATTTCCGGTATGCCGTCATATATTCTGAAGACTGCAGCTTCATTTCTCACCTAACAGATTAAGAGTGTGATCGGAGAGTTTTTATGTTCTGCTGCGATGGAACTTGCAGAGCTTAGCGCTGACTGTATGGGTAGTTTCCATGAACTTGTCATTCATATCGTCTACTGTTATTTAAATTCTAGGCGTTGAAAACAGTTTTGTAATTAGAGGTGAAAGTTTTTGGGTATTTTGATTTGAACACAATGGGACTTTTCTGGGGACCTTCAGCTTACCGTTCTCTTTTATGCCTATTTGAAGTCTCCCATTAACACTGTAAAGTCCACTGACTTTTTAGTAATGCGTGGTTATAGAGATATCCTCAAATATTTTCTCCACCTTCTCAGAGGGATTTGCTGAGTTTGATATGTTAACTTGTGTGATCTTCAATGAATACCGTTTGGTGATTCTGAGTATAAGGTAACTCTCATCGATACACTCCTTAGTTAGCTATCTCAAATATCCTCAAAAAATCATACTCAGCAAACGGTCTTTACTGACACTAAAAGCCTCTCTATACATTCATCTATGTTTGATAAAATACACTTTCGACCATAATAACTACAATTGTGGCCCAGCTATCCACACATTCTTATGTTCAGTTGATGGTCGCCAGTTATCCATAAGGCAAATGAGGTAATACCGACTACTGCGTTTTATTTTAAAAGTGCCTACCTCAATTTATAGTTACTCAAGGTTGCATAATATATCCTCTAACTACTCTGTGTCATCCAATGGGTGTTACAACATAGGGAAGCTAAAACAGGAAATGTGCAGCAGCATCTTCCTGATTACAACTCAAAACTGTAAAAAAACTGCAGTATGTAACCCACCTGCCAAGCGTGGCCACTATGGCAAAATTGCTCCTATGAGGCACTCTATGAGGGAGGCCTGTTTTTAGCAGTAGACTTCTACAGGCTGATGAGTGGACGGATTATTTTTAAGAGTATACATTTTTATTTTCATCCATATAGACGAACTCATTGATACTTACGCAGCGTTAAATCTTTGTCAACCTTTCTGATAATATGAGGTACTGGTGGATAAAGCCTCAACGTCTCCTTAATAACAGCTTCCAAGTATTTGAGTTTCGGAAGGTCATCTGCCAGAACGGGTCTGTCGCTATCCCCGAAGATTGCAAATAACCTAAAAAAAATTTGCTTCATTATTTTTTACGTTTAACAGCAAACTTTGCTTAAAAAGTTTGCTGTTAAACATAAAAAAGCATAATTAATATAAGAGACAATTTAACTCTTTGCCCTCATCGCTTACTATTACAACACATCACAAATCATACACACACAGCTTGGTCCTAGGCAACCTGCATCCATTCCCTATATTATTTTGCAGGTAGTCATTGATATTCTCCAATGATTTCAGGTTCAGATGTTTTGTAAGCCGCAGCTGTCGCTTTCTATCATAATTTTCACTATAATATTATTGGAAAATAAAAGAGAGTAGAAAAACACGCATGAGATGTGACGATCCGTGGTCCGTCCGAATTATGAAAGAGGGTGCTGCCAGTATAACAGCGTTATAAATTCTCTTAGAACAATTACAATGTTTGTCAATTAGTGTTGCCCAAAATTGGTCTTGGTCTTGCAGTTTTGGTCTTGTTCTTGCATTTTTGCAAGACCAAGACCAAGAACAAGACCGCCTAATTTTAGCAAGACCAAGACCAAGACTGACCGTGCAAGATTTGAGCAAGAACAAGACTAAGCCTGCGAGACTCTTGCGTCTTGCAGTTAGGAATGAGTGTCGTTTCAGGGAGTATAGGAGTTCGGGTATACGCTTAGGGACTCTATGAGACGCAAAAAATATATTTAAAAAATTTGGAAAATTGGACTTATGCGCATTACGAACAATACCCTAAACATACATAGCGGAATGAAAATATCCATTAAAAGAAAAAACAGTGCATCCCTAGTTTTGACCATCGGAACTTTGATAGTGCGCGGCGTCTTGTTGTCGGCATCATCATAGGTCGAATACTGACCTGTCAAAGAAATTTTGCAGCTATTCGGAAGTACAAGGTCAAGATACACGCGCCGGCGGCTTCTATTGATATCGCATTCAATCATCGCCGCCGCGCCGCACGCACTGCATTTGACACTGTTTGAATGCAGCCACAGAGTACATGTTCCAAAGAATAAAATAAGTTTCCGGGTGCTCAGAATTGACACGAATACATTATGCTGATCTCGCAAGGAATATTGTAATTAGATAATGGTAAGGATAGGTAGATACCATAACAATTTATTCTAGTAAGTAATTATTATAATATTAACTATATGGGTTTATAATAATTACTTACTATTATTATTATTAACTAATAGATAAACATGTTCAACAAGTTCACTTCAAATGTCGATTTTTGGAAGTGTGTTTTTGAACACAAAGTGTTCGAATATGTCGTCACCCATTTGATAAATATTGTAGACACTTTTAACACACTTGAAACGTGTAAACATTTTGTATAATGCTTATCGAATAATATAAAAAGTGTGCATATTAAATAAAAAGCGTAAAATAAGATCTATGTACTTTTTAGGAGCCCGAGTGTCTCTTAGAGAACCGTTTAAAGAAATTGATTGCATCGAATTTATGTAAATAATAGTGATTTGCACAATTTTAATAGTAGAAATAAAAATAAAATCACAATACCTGCTTTCCGGTTACACAAAGTATATAATGCTTTCTTGGGCGAATAGTTTATAATAAGATTCCAAAAGAAATGTTAGATCTTTCACCTTTTCAATTTAAGTCAGACAAAAATGCTTGGAACTGACCTCTCGTACTACACAGGACTAACTAGAAATTTCTAAACCGATTTGGTATCTACATATACATTTGACATTTTATGTTTGACTTTACGTAATTATAGAACTATTGTAAAAATATTTTGAAAAGAGCAACTACTGAGTTTCTTACTTTCTTCCATGATTCTTCTCAGTAGAATCAGAACCCCAGGACATGGAAAAGAAAAAAATTGGGGAAAACAGTGATTATATGACTATTCAAAAGTGTATTTTAATGCCTACTTGAATAAAACATATTTGAATTTTGAATTTCAAACGAGTGAAGGCAAATTTAATTTAATTAACGTAGATTAATTCAATCACAATAAGAACATAATAAACACAATTTTATTTACATATTTACATTTCAATTTTACGTAGGTACACTATACCTATCTGGCAACGCATCTACTTTATTAATCTTCTGAAGAATCATGAATTTTATCAAAGGATGCCGAACTTTCCTTTGTCGGTCTTTCGGCGCGTACTTACAAATAGTAGTATTTATTTTAATTCCAGTCATTCCCAATTGAGCTTTGCTTCGAGTCTAATGTATTAATTAATATATTTACTCTAATCCTTGTTGTCCTCGGAGTGATAAGTTTACAATTTGACATGAGTGACGAAGAGTCGAATAGTTCTAGTTGGAGTAGTGAGAGTTGGAGTTGTAGATCTAAAAGGCCTAAAAGTAAATTTGATGAGTTTTTCGACATAATTCATGCATCCCAAATTGCTTTGTGTAAATTATACCAATATAAAAAGGTTGAAATAAAAATGAAAAACAGAAACACTTCAGGCTTAAGGAAGCATCTAATATCTTTCCACAAAAAGGAATCACAAATATTTCTTCCTGAAAAACCAAAATTAAGTAGAGATATCACAAGCTTTTTAATAACCACCAGAAAACTGGACAGGTAAGAAAAAATATACTTATCACACAATTACATAACACATATATTATGTAACTAGCGGCCGCCTGCGACTTCGTCCGCGTACAATATCTGATTTCCTATGAGATTTTGAAATTTTCTCGCTGCAAAAGTCTTACCTAAGTATAAAGAGGCTATATAGGTAAAGCTTAACTATGCAAGTATTTATTATTTAAAACTAATAAAGTAAATGTCGATCTTCATATCTATACTTTAAAAATATAGGACTGCATGTAACCATTTTACCCCAATTTCACCCCCTTAGGGTTAGGATTGCGTAAAACAGCTTATTCAGGATTTTATTATTGAAAACTTATAACTTTAATACCGGTTTTCTTGTCTCTGCCATAAAAGGAACCTACCTTACAAACTTCTAGTTTGTATGTGTTATATAGTTCCTGAGATATCGTTGTAGTCAGTCAGTGAGTGGTAGTTATATATATATATATATATATATATATATATATATATATATATATATATATATATATATATATGATAGTGTTAAATATGTATTTATAATTCACTCATATTTTCGGCGAGACCACTATCCAAGCGCGACGACGTAGCTTTGAAACTAATAACAATTTTACATAAACATATAATCTTACTTACACAAGTTGCGAAAACAATATCGTCGCTTAGATTAGAAAAAGATAGACACACAAACATGCAATGGCGGGTTGGTGTGGCTTGGATTGTGGATTTACTGTTTTATTTCAGTCTGAAAATAGCAGTGGCAACATCACGACAGCTACAGTTGATTGGATGTAAAAGATATCTTCCCTTCTCATTTTTCGATGACGAAGCTACACAAGTATATTTTCAATCAATTTGCCCAAATAGGGTGTTTCCTAAAAGGTGCACACTTAGAAGGAAGGTCAAAGAACGGTTTGAAGAGCTTCAATTGAATCTTAAGAAACGACTACAATAATTTTCATCTAAAATGTCATTTACCATTGATGGATGGACGTGAGTTGCTGGTAGGAGTTACTACGGCGTCACTATTCATTATATAGACAACGAATGGAAGTATCGATCTGTAGTCCTTGATTTTATACCATCACGCGGTCGACATACTGGGGAAGATATTGCAACGATTTTCCGCGAATGTTTATTGAAATATGACATAATTGATAAAATACAGGGTATCACGGTCGACAACGCAACTGCAAATACCAAATTTATGTACGAATTGAACAAACAGCTGCCACACTTTGATTCAGACAATCAACATTTCCGGTGCTTTGCTCACATTTTGAACCTTGGTGTACAAGATTTATTAAAGACCTTAGCATTACACAGTGAAACTGACAATAAGGGACAAGAACAGCAGTATGAAGATAATGAAGACGAAACTGAGGAAGATGAAGAATATGCGCCAAATATTGCTGACTCACGTACAGCTATAACAAAATTACGCAGTATTTCCAGTTAAATAAAAAGAAGTGAGATATTGAAGAGGAAGAGTCGTTTGTGAGCAGCTGGCGTGCCATCAAATCTGTACCCCATACTCAACTGTCCAACGAGATGGAATTTCACACATGATATGATTTGATTTGGTTTAAAAGTGAGAACTGGCATTAACATATTGTGCACTTCTGTCACCGAATTGAATGATTTTCAAATCACAGATAGTGAATGGCAAATACTCGAAAAAATACATAAGTTTCTAATAAACTTTAAACTTCTATTTTAACGAAACTTGGTGGAGAAAAATATGTTACATTACCGCTAGTCATTGTATCATTCAATCTCTTGCTCGATAAAATTGAATCCATGGTAAAACAATTAGATGAGAAACCTAATCGATCCGAAGTGGATGAAAGGCTCATTCTGGGTTTTCAAGCAGCTCGAGACAAAATGCTTAAACATTATAAAAAGAGCAACTGGATTTATTTTACCTCTTTAATTTTAGACCCAAGACATAAGACTCAGACTTTTGACATGACATTATGGGGGAAGCAAATTAAAACAGCAAGGCTGCGCAAATTTAATGAACTTTATAAAGAGTATAAAAGTCTACACTCAGTGATTACATCTCTAGAATCACCAAGAAATGAAAAGAAAGTATCTGAATATGATGAAGATGAATACGTAATAGACTTTGAGAAATTGTATGCATGTCCCTCGACGTCATCTGGATCTGGATCTTTTCATCAAGGCTTAGTTATAGACGAGTTGGAGGAGTACCTAAGTAAACCCAGAGCCGCCAATTCGGAAGACATTTTAGAGTGGTGGAGGACGCATGAGACAGAATATCCGACTTTATCGAAGATGGCCCGTGATTTTCTTTCAATACCTGTAACTTCAGTACCTGCTGAGAAATTATTTTCTAAAGCATCATTAACATAACATAAACACTCACGTCTGTCACCCAGAGGGGTAGGCAGAGACTACAGACTTCCATTTGGCACGATCCTGACACACCTCTCTCGCCTCCTTCACATCCATACACCTACGCATTCATGCTCGTCGGTTAAGGGTACTCCTAATTTGGCCCGTTTTCAATAAATCGCCAATTTGGTCGATAAATTTTCGCCTAGGACGTCCCTTTCCGACTCTGCCATTCACTTCTGCAACATAAATTTTCTTTGTCACTCTTTCCTCATTCATTCTTTCCATATGACCAAACCACCGAAGCATTCCTTTCTTAATCCTGGTCACAACATCATCTTGCAAACCAATTTCTTACCCTGTCAATTAGATTCAGCCCTACATACTCCTTAACGACCGCATTTCTACTGCGTTCATTCTACTCTCGTGCTTCTTCTGCAACACCCAACTTTCACTACCATACGTTAAAGTAGGGACCAACACAGCATTGTGAATTGCCATACGTGCCTTTTTCGACACATTTTGACTCTTCACAATAGAGTGTAGGGCCCCATTTATTCTATTTCCTGCATTCACTCGTCGTTCTATATCCTTATCACATCTCCCATCCCTGCTAAATAATTAAGAGATAAGTCGCTCGCGTCCGTAGGCTTTGACCACCTAATCCTTGGCCCACCCTACACGTGTCCTCCGGGTGGTGCTAAATGAGCGACAATCCGATAGCACAGACTCGGCTCCTCGCCATGATAGCGGCGTAAAATATACTACCCCATATTTCGCACCATGAGGAAGCAAACAAAAGCATCATTAGTAATTAGAAAACATAGAAATAGGTTAAGTGATGAGTCAGCCAGATGGTTACTTTGTATTAATTCTTGGTCAAAATAATTAATATAAAGTAACAGTAATGTCAAAGCTGTTGTGTACTGTTATGTAATTTAATTTGTATTATTTGTACGGCACGGATCGCTTAGGTCGTGGGTTCAAACCCCACCCGGTATTAGTTGATTTTTCGAATTTCTCAACAACAGTACATTTATTAATTTGGTTGGTCTTTCTATGGCTATGTTAATTCAAGCTCAAAATGTGCCTACTCTGTTAAGTTGTTATAAGATCTAAAGTAACGTTTAATAAATAACAATAGGCTAATAGGTAATTGCGAGACTTGCGAGACTCTTGCTGCAAGACCAAGACCAAGAACAAGACTGAGAGCGCAATACCAAGACCAAGAACAAGACCAGGTGTATTGGCGTAAGACCAAGACCAAGACTGGCTAAGTCTCGTCTTGTTCTTGCATTTGGGCAACACTATTGTCAATCAACAAGTTCAAAGTTTTAAACACAATTTGGTTAAAAGGGTTATTTGGGATATTAAAGAAATATTCATATAAATAAATGTATGGTATAATTTTATGATTAAAAAGTATTCCTGATGGATTTCTTGCTGGTTCTTCCCAGGACTACCTAGACAGACGGACTAGATTTTCTGAACCATAAGTAAAAATTGAGTTTCAATAAGTATTGTTAGAATAAATCATGTTGAATACGACTTAAAATTTCGTCTTTTATGAACCTAGCTTCTATATTTTTATTACAGTAGTCATGTCTTTGTTTTGAAAACTATTTCGTGCCCTTAATAAGAACAAAATGTCATTAATATTATAGAATGCAATCTGTTATCACTATTGTAGAATACAAATTAAATAGTGAATCCCGTGAGTGAATCTAGATTTTAATGGACACCTAAGAAGCTGTGCTGAATGACTTAATAATACAAATTCTATAATACAAATTCTATAATGTTGCTGTACATCATCGAATATTATCAAATAAATATTTATCAACCAATAACTTATACACGGGTTAGCAAAGGAGAAAAAGCGACTCCATATATATGTGGTATATTTGATAACCTATCTTAGGAGTTGATTGATGTGCGTAGCAGGACTGTTATTTGTGATTGTAATGAAGATAATGAATGAATTTAACAAACACTCACTCGTTATAAACTTTATCCTGAATATCAGGATAGCGTGAAAGCATGCACAATACAAACGAAGCTCCAACTGCTGAAGTATCAGTGCCCGCTAATGCAAGAACTAATACTTCTTCTCTTAACTCCACGTCTGTGAGTCTACTAATTTCATAAGATGAGTCCATAAGTATCTCTAGAAACGTTTTCGGGTATTCTCTCGTCGCACCTAAAATATTTTAATATCACCATATTATTATCACATTAATATTTAATATATCCGTGTAACTAAAGACCTGCCGGCTTTGCTTGCCCTTGTTTCTTGAAGTTCCCAGTACATGGCGTGTTTTGCCCCTCTGTTGTCAGCCATATGAAGCACGACTCCACCAACTTAATTGCCGCTGCATATAGAGCGACTCACACCTGCCACAGACGTTATCTCGGCGTAGGATTTCCGTATTTTGACTCAGTCGAACCAACGTACACCCATGATATTACGGCTACGCTGAATATACAATATATGCAGATTTAACATGCAATTGCGATACAATTACCGAGATTCTAAAAAAAATATTTGGCAAAACAACCGTCCTATAGACCGCTATCTTAGTAGGTAGTCACGTAAAAAGAAAACATTGGTTCTCAATATTTCGAATGCACCTGATGCAACACTGAATCTTGTATTAATTTTAACTTTTATAATCACATTTAAACGTTCTTACGCTTCACAAAATAGACTTAGTACTGGTGTATAGACGACGTGACAGCCCGAAAATGCGTGACCGATTTTAATATGTAAGTTTTAGTTTGTAAAAAAAACCTCAGTTGATAGGAAAAGTATGAAACGAATAAACACATAATTTTATTTCCATATATTATATAGATAATATATGGAAATAAAATTATGATCATGTTTAATGTCCATGTCACACCTATGCCGGTCATTGTTGGGAGCACTAAGCTCGAAGTTGTTGACAAGTACGTTTACCTGGGACAAATAGTCCGACTAGGTAAGTCCAACTTCGACCGAGAGGTAGACGGATTCAACTTGGCTGGGCAACGTTCGGGAAATTACGACTCATCTTCTCGTCAGGTATACCTCAATCTTTGAAAACTAAAGTGTCATAACCAGTGCGTGTTGCCAGTGATGACTTACGGATCTGAGACGTGGTCCTTCACTGCCTGGCCGTATGAGGACGCTCAAGGTCGCTCAGCGAGCTATGGAGAGGGCTATGCTCGGAGTTTCTCTGCGTGATAGACTCAGAAATGAGGATATCCGCAGTAAAATCAGAGTGACCGACATAGCCCAACGGATTAGTAAGCTGAAGTGGCAATGGGCCGGCCATATAGCTCGAAGAACCGATAACCGATGGGGAAGAAAGGTTCTCGAGTGGCAGCCTCGTACCGGTAGGCGTAGTGTAGGGCGACCCCCACTAGATGGAGTGACGACCTGGTAAGATATGCAGGAAGTCGATTGATGCAGGTGGCTCAGGACTGTGCTTTGTGGCATTACTTGGGGGAGGCCTATGTTCAGCAGTGGACTTGTGAAGGGCTACAATGATGAAATGATGATATAGAAATGGTCGCGGACTTCTATCAAGTCAGAAACAATTTTATGATATCGCGTTTCAAAAATATGTTTCGCCATCTAGGTACTTTAACATACATATATTTATATTGAAGTGTAACACTGACACATTACAAATTTAATATAAACGTAAACATTACTGCCCACCAAGGACGACAGTCCTTAACGATATCATGTATCTCTTAGTAAACATTATGTTATCAACGTTATTGCTACGTTTTTATTTATGTAGAAAATAGTATCAAACCCTGTCTACTTATTTTATTATTAATAATAAAGAAAAAAAAACGAAGAAGTTTATAGATTTAATACATAACATTTTACATAAAACTTCTTTTTGTCAACAAAAATAACGAACTTCTATAGCGATTTCGTATAATATATATTATCCAATATACAGGGTGTCCAGTAAATAGCACGACATACTGCAGGGGGTGATAGCTAGGGTCACTACCTATCAATACAACACAATATATGTTCAGCAAAATCTTACGGATTTACAGTTTTACAAAATTTTCCGAAATACCGAAAAATCTCTACCTTGAAACAGATTTTTAAGCATCTCGTAATGAAAAAATCCTTTTCTAGTACTTTTTTTTTACATCAAATTATTCGTGAATAGTTACTTTACTCATTGATAAGTCTTTTTTTATCAAAGACAAGAATGTTTTCAAATACTATGTTTTGTTTAAATTTGCACAGAACTATTTTCTTATCACTTTAGTTTAACCTACAGTGGTGAAAAAAAGTGGCAGTTTTGTACAACAAACTTAAAAATAGCTTGTTTAAGGGTGATTTAGGAAAGATACAATACTAGTGCATTTTCATTAAAAAAATACTAAAAAATGCTATTTTAGTTCCAGAGAAGCTGATTTTGTTAAAAATGTAATTAACGTAATTTTGACAAAAACCACTATGAGAATAAGTAATAGCTGCTCATTTACGCGAACCGTGTAGTGGCGGTTAAGAATATCCACTACCCCATATCTTCCCGTGGGTGTCATAAAAGGCGACAGAGGGAGACAGACAGGAGATGGGCAGCAGCATCTTCCTGATAACAGCAACTGTATGACAAAAAAAAACTGCGGTTGCCAACCCGCTCGCCAAGCGTGGCAACTATGGCAATATAACCCTCATGAACAATTACACAAATAGGCGGCCCCCAGTTCCCGGCGGCCCCGCTATTCCTGGCTACGGCGGCGACCATGGTAACGGCGGGGCAGGGGGTGCTAAGAATCTCCGGTGGAGGTTCGGTTGCCACCTACGACGACTCGACCTGGCAACATTTAACGCACGCACACTGAGGACTGACGAGAAGATCCTGGAGCTGGAAGAAGAGATAGACAAGTTGCGCTGGAGTATTATAGGATTATCCGAGGTCCGAAGAGAGGGGGAGGACACGGTGATTCTCGAATCCGGCAACTTGTTCTATCACCGGGAGGGCGACCATCTGTCCCAAGGAGGTGTCGGATTTATAGTCCACAAGTCTCTCGTCAACAACGTTGTAAAGATTGGGAGTGTGTCGACGAGGGTCGCGTACCTGATACTCAGAATCACCAAACGGTATTCGCTGAAGGTCATACAGGTTTACGCACCAACCTCGGCACATCCCGATGAGGAGGTAGAGGAAATGTATGAGGATATTTCCAAAGCCATGCATTCCTCCAAAACCCACTACACGGTGTTGATGGGAGACTTCAACGCAAAACTAGGCACAAGAGAAAGCGGTGAGCTGAAGTTAGGGAAATTTGGAGTAGGGCAACGGAACCGAAGGGGCCAGCAGCTGGCCGACTTTATGGAGAAAGAGGGACTCTTTATGATGAACTCTTTCTTCCAGAAGCGGCCCCACAGGAAGTGGACCTGGTCCAGCCCCGACGGTTCGACAAAAAATGAGATTGACTTCATCATGACGACCAGACGCCAACTGTTCAGTGATGTCTCAGTGATCGCAAGGGTGAAAACTGGCAGCGATCACCGAATGGTTAGAGGCACACTGAACCTAAACGTTAAGTTGGAGAGGTCTCGTCTAATGAAGTCAACGCTCCGTCCCCCTCGTGCTCTAATCCAGAATCCCGAAAACTTTCAGCTCGAGTTACACAACCGCTTTCAGTGCCTACAAGATTGCAATGCAGTGGACGATATGAATGACAAGCTCGTGGAAACTGTCCACTGATCTAAGTTCTGCAAGATCCACCGCAGAAGAACACAAAAACTCTCCGATCACACTCTTAATCTCATGGCTGTTAGACGGGAGATGAGGCTGCAATCGTCAACAGATTTGACAGCATACAGGCAACTGAACAGACAGATCTCCAAATGCATGCGGCGAGACTTACGCAACTTTAATACTGCTCGTATTAAAGAAGCGATCGAGCGGAACCAGGGCTCCAAAGTCTTTGCCAGAGATCTGTCTGCCAGAAAGAGCCAACTGTCAAAGCTGAAGACTGAAACTGGCAGCATCGTTTCCGGGACACCTGAGATGTTGAGTGAGATTGAGAGGTTCTATGGGCAGCTGTACACATCATCGTTGGAGCCACACGCAAGTGTGAGTAACGATCCAAGAGCAAGTCTTATCCGACACTATTCCGATGATATCCCGGACGTCAGTCTAAGCGAGATTAGAATGGCTCTCCAGCACCTTAAAAACGGCAGGGCCCCAGGCAAGGATGAAATTACAGCGGAGCTTCTGAAAGCGGGTGGAACACCGGTACTGAAAGTCCTTCAGAAGCTCTTCAATTCCGTCATCCATGGTGGCACTACTCCAGAGGCGTGGAGCAGAAGTGCGGTGGTCTTGTTCTTTAAGAAAGGCGACAACGCTCTCTTGAAGAACTACAGACCGATTTCCCTTCTAAGCCGCGTCTACGTGCTGTTTTCGAGAGTCATTACGAATCGTCTCGCACGCAGACTCGACGACTTCCAGCCTCCCGAACAAGCCGGTTTCCGAAAAGGCTTCAGTACCATAGACCACATACATACCCTGCGGCAGATTGTACAGAAGACTGAAGAGTACAATTTGCCACTTTGCCTGGCGTATGTGGACTATGAGAAAGCCTTTGATTCCGTCGAAATTTGGGCGGTGCTGCAGTCCCTTCAGCGGTGCCAAGTTGACTGTCGGTATATCGAAGTGCTGAAGTGTTTGTACAGTAGGGCTACGATGGCTATCCGAGTACAGAACAAGAGCTCGAAACCTATCCAACTGCAGAGAGGTGTAAGATAGGGTGACGTTATATCCCCGAAACTCTTCACCGCTGCTTTGGAAGACGTTTTCAAGCTACTGGACTGGAAAGGATACAGTATTAATATCAATGGCGAGTACATCACTCACCTTCGATTTGCCGACGATATAGTTCTTATGGCAGAATCGCTGGAGGACTTAAGCACTATGCTCAATGACCTCAATAGTGCCTCCCAACGGATAGGCCTTAAGATGAACATGGACAAAACAAAGATCATGTTTAATGTCCATGTCACACCTATGCCGGTAGTTGTTGGGAGCACTATGCTCGAAGTTGTTGACGAGTATGTTTACCTGGGACAAATAGTCCGACTAGGTAAGTCCAACTTCGACCGAGAGGTCAATCGACGGATTCAACTCGGCTGGGCAGCGTTCGGGAAATTACGACATATCTTCTCGTCAGGTA